GGGCCGGTATGCAAACTGGACATGGAAAAAACATACGATCATCTCAGCTGGAGTTTTATTGATTACATGGTGTAAAATGGGGTGTTTGGTTCTAAATGAGGCATTGGATGAAGACTTGCATCTCCACTACTTCTTTTGTGGTGATTGTTAATGGAGGGTCATCTGAATTTTTTTCTGCTTCCTGTTGGCTAAGGCAGGGTGATCCTCTCTCACCACTACTGTTTATTATTGCAATAGAGGCTCTAAATGGTTTACTTTGCAAGGCTAAAGGTCTGAATTTATTGAAAGGTGTTAAAGTTGGGAAAAGGTCAAATGTTTTTGAGGTTACATGCCTTCTCTTCACTGATGACACCCTCATATTTTGCCATCCGGATATCAGGAACCTATTACACCTGTGCTGCATTCTCCACTGTTTTCAGACTGTTCTAAGCTGAAAATTAATCTGTTAAAATCAGAACTTGCTAGAATAAGGGGTGATGGGGATAGCAACAACTATGTTACGGTTCTGGGTTGTAAACCGGTGAAGTTCCCCATGAAATATTTGGGGGTGCCTTTGGGTGCAAAATTTAAAGATAAAGATACTTGAGAGTCAGTTATTGAAATGTTTGAAAATAGGCTTGCGGGGTGGACGAGGAATTTTCTATCCAAGGGAATGCGTCTCACTTTAATAAAGAGCACGATGGTCAATCTTCCCATTTACTATCTTTCGACACTCACCATCCCTAAAGAATAGCGAAGAAGCTAGAAACTATATAATGTAGATTTATTTTGAGGGGATGAAGATGGGAATAGGATGCATCACTTGGTTAATTGGGAAGATATCAAAAAACCAGTTAAAAGGGGTGGATTGGGCATAAGATCCTTAGTATACATGAATATAGTTCTTCAAGGAAAATGGCTTTGGAAGTTTTTTAAAGGAGGAGAATAAAATGTGGAGAAATTGTGTTTGTCCATTGGGGTGATCAGGCTTCGGCTGGTGCTGGGGCAGGTTACAGGCCGCACGGGCGTGGCTTGTGGAAGAACATCATGAAACAATGGTCGAGATTCCTTAACTGCACCAAATGGCAATTGGGGGAAGAGGACAAAATCAGGTTCTGGCAAGACAAGTGGGCCGGTGAGGATAGCTTATAGAATAGGTATCCCAGAATTTTTGAGTTAGCATATTCAAAAGGTTTGGTGGTGGCTGAAGCATATTGGTTTTGTAATGGCTGTGTTGAATGTTATGTTAGGGTGAATAGACATTTAAATGACTAGAAAATCAAGGAGTATGGAGAGCTCTTGCTGACACTGGAGGACCAAAATATCAAAGAGGGCTCAGACAAGATTATTTCGAATCTTGAAAAAAAGAGAAATTTTTCTGTTCGGTCATATTACAGGTTCCTGGTTGGTGGGGAAGAGGAAGGAATTCTGAACTTCCCAATTAAGCAAATCTGGAAAACAAAAGTACCCCCTAGAATGGAATTCTTTGCATGGGAAGCATGTGGAGAAAGGATTTTCACTATTGAGAATTTAAGATTGAGGGGGCAGATTATTGCAAACAGGTGTTACCTTTGCAAGTGTGCTGAAGAATCATGTAATCATCTTCTTTTATGGTGTCCAGTTGCCTATAGCTTATTTATGGGTTCTTCAGGATTTAATTAGGTGATTGTTGGGACCGTGAGAGGGGAAATTTGGGCATAGGATGAGCTTAATTTCAAATGTATGTTGCCAATTTGATTCCTTTGACTATTTTTTGGGTTCTTTGAAAAGAAAAAAATGTTAGAATTTTTTAGAAGAAAGAATTAGCTTTGTATAAATTTAAGAAATAAGTGAATTAATTATTTTGGAACTACCTTGTTAGGTCACAATATTGTTAGAAATGAAAATTTTGAGGGTATCATTAACATATTAATTACTTTGTAAATCTTTCTGTTTACGGGTTGGTACCCCTTTTTTTGGTACCTTGCTAATATACACATTACTTTTTATTTCAAAAAAAATATTATTATATATATAATAAAAGTAAGAAAGTGGAGATTTTTCTTTGAAATAAAGTACAGAAGTGGAGAATAAATCCTCGTACACTAATACTTGGAAGAAAAAAAGATGAAAGAACCACATAAAAATAAATGAACAATGCATCTCAATCTCAGTCCCATTGCAAATTAGCCAAATTAACATCCCTAGAGTAATCATAAGCCTTGGCCTCCAAAAAAGTAAAAAAAGAACCAATCTATCCCCTAGGAAAAACAAAGGACATAACCATCCTTGAGAATTCACGACACTCCAACAATATTCACAAACCAGCAAAGAAAGCTCTTCTCCAGGACACCTTAGCCTCTTTCTTCACCCAAACTACCCAAAAAAACATAGGTAGAAAACACTTTAGGGAAGGGACCAGAATCTCTTAGCCATCTCATAATGCAAAAAAACATGGCAATGGGACTCGGCTCCCATGAAACACATAACATACACATCTGGGAAAAAGCATGGTTGGATCTGCAGACTTGCCATAGGTCACTTGTGTTGAGCCTTTTCAAGTCAACAATCCAAACAAAAATACCAACTTTATAGAATCATAAACACTAGTGAAAATCTTGCTTTCACAAAAAGATTTATGGGCAAGATGGGTAAAGAGGGATTCACAAAAGTACACACTCAAAGAACCCGAAGCGGGTTTGGCCAATTCTAATATTGGTTATGGAGAGACAATAAATGGCACAAGGGCATACATAAAGAAAGCACAATATCTCACGCTCAATCATTTACCCTTCTCTTTTTTTTTTTGGAAAGAAAATGTATAATCAATCATTTTCCCCTCTCATAAAATCAAGAAAAATGGACATAGTTAAAGAAAGACGAGCATCTCAATTTCCATCTCAACCAAGCATGCCCTCAAAATAAAACCTAGAATCACAAAGGGCCTTAAACAAATTATTTATATTATCCATACTTTTATCTCAAAAAAAAACAATTTATTTAGGTTATTCATTCTCCAATCTTGCAAACATGAAGCAAGAACTACATCCAACACCATTTCCAATAGTTAAGGAAAGACGAGCTCACTTTTGAGTTGCAAGATAACTAGTGTGGTGAATCAGGTGGGCCAAAAAAGATTTGTAAGTTTTTGTGTTTGAAAATTAAATAGCTTGTATAATCTCAATTTTGAGATGATACCTTGAGTTAAAAATTACTTGGTCTATAATGCGTGTGAATTTGCAAAAGATGTAAGAATTTTTCATCCTTTAACTAATAACAAAAGTTTTGTTTTTTTTAATGACTATTAGTTCCTATGTGTAAGTTCCTACTCAAACTGTGACATCTAGACTCTCCACTAATAATTATTGAGAACATCCAAGAAACTCCAATTAAGCATATCATATACTTCAATTAAACCCAATTTAAGAATGAAATCTTTTTGCTTCTTCCTCAACCACTTCATTAGCAAGATGATAAACATCAAGCACTCCCCCCCCCCCTCACATTGCAATAAGGCGCTCTGATTAATATTGTCCCCCCACCACACATTGCAATAAGATAGGACCTTGCGGCAAACGATCTGGCTTCCCAACACTTTGATTAACAGCATTATCTAACGCCTCGACTCTTCTCTTTAACTATTGTCACTAACATTCACCCAATAAACAAAAAGGAAAGAAAAAAGTAGCCACTCAAAAAGAATATGTGAAAGATAATAGAATTTGAACCTTGGCAACCACACAAAGAAGCTCCTCATGAGATATGATGGCAGATTTATGATACCGTTTATATAATTCTGACCCAAAACCACCATGAGGTAACCAGTCAGCAGGAGCAAAATTGACAGCCTCTGCACAATTTAAACCTGAAAGGCCGCACAGGAACATGTTATCTATTGCTACTTTTTTTCTATTTATCATGATGATTCATTTAATATTTTGAGGACAGTATGTCCTATGAGTTTTTATCGCTTTAGTGTATCTCGGTCCTTTAAACTAGAAACCCATGAAAAAGTATGGCATACCAAAATTGAATCCTCCATGGTAAGATCTGGGGAATGTGATGACAAAATTTCCAGGCTCCTGCGCAGAAAAAAATTTTGAAAAATGATACCATCAATAGCCAACACAGTAGACCAATTGAAAACAAAAACCTGAATAAAATTCTGCATGTTACTACATTGGAAGATATATTCAGGTATTAAACTATTTCCTTGCATATCAAACCTGTAGTGTAGTATAGACTGGAACTCCACTTTCTCGCAGAACAGATGGATTCAACATAGTGACAAGCTGAAAGAGTAAATCAGGCTGTGCATCAAAAAGATCAGGAAGATTATTCCTCATGACCTACAAGAAAATTGACAACAGAGATGAAAAGAATGTGTTTGTCACCCTTAAAAGAGAAACAATTTTTTAATAAGCCCAACCAGGAAAAGTACCTCAGCCATTCACGAAGCCAAAATGGAAAAAGAATAATTAAGTATTGCATAACATAGGAAATTACTTGGCACTAGTAGCAGAAAGTTATTAAAAATCTAAAGAACTACCTTTTCAAATGCATCAGCTTCACTTCCAGGGACACTGTACCAACATTTAGGCTCTCCCCTGAGAACAGAGTATAAGTAGTAAGAATGAAACTTCTGCGAGAGCTAATATCTTATAAACTATGGAAATGTAACTATCACTCAAGACCAAGCATGTGGAGAGCAAATGTAGTTGAAGATTTATATTCTCCATTCAGTGACTTGTCAGCACACAATATTATTAAAAAAAAAAAGGCTTTGTCTCTTGAGCTGCCACCGGTGGTCCAAGAAGAACTTCAAGCCTGATAATAAGAAATGAAGGGAATAAATGGAAAACAGGAAGATCCTAAAGTGGGTATACTTTGATAATAGAAATAGTTATCTAACTGTATGTTTATGCACGATTGAGGTATTTAACTTATTTAAGAACTAGTATCAATATGCTTATTGATGGTGTAAGTTTATTATATCCTATTAAATTAGGATCTTATTTACTTAGTCTCTATTATAGGTTATTTCAATTAAATAATATATTTTCCTATCAGTAAAATTCCTAGATAGACTTGAGATATTGATTTGATTATTAAGATCCTTCAATTTTGGTTCGTATAAATTTTCTTTATATGAGCAACATCCCCTTGGTGCCTATTACTATATTCTCTCCTCTTTTATTTCAAAAAAAGAATGTTCAAGCTCTCCTTGTCCTATGTCGGGAAGACACGACTATATCGATTTCACCAGGAAGGAGCACTAAACCTTCAAATCAACACAGTCAAGTTTTTTCCTACCCGATGAGAATTGAAGTCTCATCTACATTGCAAACTTTTATAGTGTTTGGCATCATCAATTTTGCAGGAATAGACACTGCAAACCTGTTCAGTCCTATGTGTGGTGCCAAAAAAAATAAGTAAAAGGCCATCTACAAACAGAAATGAGAGAACCATTTCGTTGCCTCATTTTGTTCCCATTTTGGTGGAACATATTTGTAATATTAGTTGTAACAAAACATAAATACTGAATTACCAAATACTCATACATTATTTTGCTTATTTCATAAACTACCATTCGCCTCCATTTATCAGCTCATATAGCCATACATAATATTGATAACATTTTTATTAAAAATTTAAAATAATAACGTTTGACATTTTTGTTGTTGCATAAATGCGATTATTACATACAATAGTTAGATTTCATAAACTACTTCTTTTGTGCAAGTAATTTTCTATTTAATACTTTTGATAAAATTAATTATCAAAAATAAGATAATACTGATTTATTATATGAGTAATTTATGAATATAAATAGCTTAATATATTAAAAAACTCATTACCAAATAAAATAATGATGATCTTTAAAACAACTAACATTGAATTTAACATATGTAGATAAAATTTAAAATAAAGTTTTATTTATAAAAAAATTAAAAATTAAACATTAAACAATACAAAGGACATTCTAGTAATTGCACAACATATTTTGTATTACTTATTGGTAACAATTTTGTTCAGCCCAGTACCTATATATCAAAGCCACCAATTTATCGTCTTGTTCTACATTGTCATGTCTAGTTCTATCCCTGTATTGTTGCTTCAGTTTGAAAAGTGCTACCTTAATTTATTATTTGTATTTCTTTATAGTAGCTTATTTTCTAATAGTGTAAGTATTTATTTATGGTTTAAATTCTTTTTTAGGGTTTCTAGTACTAATTAGTTTAGGATTAAATCAAAGTCTATAAATACTCTTGATATTCTTTCATGAGAATAAAAGGAATTTACAGCAGCTATATTTTATGATTTTGCCATAAGTGTGATTATGTGATGCAACTGAGTCTCTCCTTAAGAGTGAAATCTTAAGAGATTCAAGACCCATCAAAGAATAAAATGATTGAGAGAATATAATGTCTTGTTATTTCTTTTTTAATCCAAGAACCCATCAAAACCAAACTCCCAAATTCTTTGGTGTAATATCAAAAAAACCTTGTTTCAAACTGCACATATTATCTCTAGATTTTCCTATATCATATTTGTTGAGTAATTTTGAGTATCAAGATTTCTCACTTGTAATTTGCAGATAACACAATCATGCCCTTTCGGATAATGATCAGTTGGTTAACAATGTGTTCACTTTACTCTAGGTTTTTAGGCATCGTTATTAACCTCCATCTTTCCTTTGGGACTTAATGATTCTTTCCTTCTTAGAGGTTGAGGCTCGCGGTTTTTTGAAGGATATGTCTTTGGCAACTCTGCAACAAGATTGGTGGAAGCAATGTTTATTTTTTTTTCCATGATCTCTTAGGAGCACTTCCAATCCTTTTTTCCATGATCTCTTGGGACTTAATGATCTTCTCTCCTTAAAAATCAAGGCTCATGATTTTCTGAAGGTTATATCTTTGGCATCTCTGCAGCGAGATTGGGAAGCAACGTTTGTTTTTTTTTCCATGATCTCTTAGGGGCATTTGTAATCCTTTTTCCCCCATGAACTTTTAGTGGGTTTAGATCATGGGATTCCTCATCCTTTGCCTTTCCACTTCTTTTCTCCTTTTTCTAATAATACTTCTTTTACTATTAAAAATACACCTAAATAGTTATCTCAAAAAAAAAATACAACTAAATAGACAAATGACAGCTCTAAAACCTATTTCTCTCCCAATCCAAAGCCAATAATAGAAATTCATGAGTCATGAGACTAAAGATCCAATACTATGTGTTATTCATGGCGGTTTGTCCATTGAGGATCTAGTATCCAATAACTTATCTCTATTGGCTAAATTATTTTGGCATTTTTTGCAGGAACCTATTTCTCTACGATACATGATGATCAAAAAGTATTCATGGTAGTCAGAGGAGTGGAGGTAATGTTGTAGCAGGTAATTTTATTACCATAAGGACACATGGAAGGCCATCTCCCATTTGCATGACCTATATATTCCCCTTAGCCCCAAACTGCAAGATGGTTCAGGAGTACTATTATTGGAGGATCTTTGGTTTGGCGATAGCCCATCAATAAATTGTTTTCTTCGTCTTTATAATATTTCTTCAAGTCACATTGCCGCTAGTTAGTTACTTTTTTTGTCACACAAAAAAGACTGTATCTTGAAACTTCCATTTTTTCAAGAGCCTTAATGCTTGAGAGGCTAATGACAGTTTAACCCTGCTGTTAGAGA